AACCCCACAATCAACGGGAAAACGAAAGATTATGGTTCAGATAAATTCATCAGATCAAAGATAAAGATGTTGCAACCCTGGAGGAAAACTTGCATACTACTCTTTCAATAGCCACCACCTTGACTCAGAATTTTCGAGTCTCTCCCTGTCGCTATTACTAACACCTGTATCCTTGTCGCTATCTTTTCAAAATTAGTATAATATATATATAATTGAATTTTCAAACTGATTTAAGAGCCTCCTGTACGCCAGAAGCTAAATTCCTAGGCCTTGGTACGTAATACGCGACGGCATGACCATATGCTCAAAATCGATCGAAGATTACAATTTGACTGGGTCAGTTTTTAGACTTGTAGCGAGAAAACGGGCCGCGTATTTCAATTGACTAATTTATTAACTGGACCCAATACCTCAAGCTAGTCCACTAAGGTGTTAAATTCCTAGAGGCTCCAGACTTTCAAACATTAGGATAGTGGATTTCCCCCGGCAATTTCAGATCATATGCTTCTTCTAAGTCAACTATACTGGATGGAGAGGAAGGAATATGAACCCAATGACTTTTCAATAACGAAATTTGGAAATGCAAACAATATCAATGACTGTATACAAGGGGGCATGTCTCCAAGACGACAATTTTTATATGTGCGAAAGGGATTTTTATCATAAAACATCTTCAAGGTTTACAAAATTATCAGCTTTAGTCTTTTCTTTTTTGGATTAGGAATGACCCTCCACATTAACTCCCATGTCAAGTAAATCCATGCCGTTTGATTATGTCAATATATCTGTTAATTTGCTACCGTGGCACATATGTGAACTATACTCATCAAAAGCCTTTTTTATCAATATGACGGATATTTATACAATATGACAGATTTCATATAAATCAAAGGTTAATTTACTGGCAAGGGGCTTGTACACGTGCTATTAATCTACTCTAGAAAAAAGGGAACTTTGAACTTGGATGCATGCTTCTAGTAGATTAGAAAACCAACATTGTTTGTAGGGAGAAAGATCATTGATGAGTCAATAATACTATAATGGAGTGAAAATTCATTTTCCTTTACGTGCCTGTCCAGTCTTGTTAATTTTCAATTTGGTTGTTCAATTTGACTTGAACTCTTTCTGCAAAACGTGTCTGGCAGGCAGGTCTTGTTGTTATCATAAAAATTTTCTTCAACAGCAAGTCATTGTCATTATTAGTCAATACCTCTGCAGTGATTGACGGGATAATGGGTAATTGCTTAATTACTAGATAGCTTGGGACCTCCTCTAAACTCTACCGCCTATACATATGTGAATATGGGATGTGTATATATATAGTGTAAGGGGCATGTTAATGTAGAGAGCGAAGTTATTTATACAATTTCCTCTTCTTCAAGGATTTCCCTACACAAGCTTGAACAGTTCCAAAAACCCTTATGGCTTCCATATTGCTGCTACTTGTATTGTTGATGCCTGCCCTGCAAATAACAGGTATCATTTTCTGCTTCTGAATTTATATATATATATATATATATATGGCATCAAGCAAATATAATAGTTTTGATGCTTTTTCATCAGACCTGTACAAGAGTTTATTTCTAGCGTACGTGGGTAGATTAATGTGAGGTTATTTCTTCAATCATGTTTACAGTACAAGAGTTTGAGGCAGATTATATTAAGTAGTTCTGTTTCATTATATAGTTGAAATTATGATATATTAAAGCATATATATATATATACCATGCAGAAAACTTCTGGTTTCTCTATCCAGTTTTTATTTATTTTTATTTTAAAATACAAGCCATACTGGGGGAGGGGGGATTCGAATATAGGACCTCGGATGCGAGGGTGACTATTCTTAACCACTTGAGTTACATGTCCCTTACTTCTCTATCCAAATTCTGAATTAGAAGCAATTGGAGTTGTATGTAAAATCTTTGGTCATTTCATGTATGAAATTAAAATTTTCATCCCTTAAAACATTCTTTAAGTAAGTTGTTTCTCTTGTTGCCAAACATGCTTTCACAAGCTGAAACTTTGATGCTTGTATTTCAGGTGCACAATCTGTTGGTGTTTGTTATGGACAAAATGGCAACAATTTACCATCCCCAACAGAAGTCGTTGACTTGTACAAAAGCAATGGCATTGGAAGAATGAGAATTTATGAACCCAATGATCCAACCTATCAAGCCCTTAAAGGTTCCAACATAGAACTCATCGTGACCATCCTCAACGACAAGCTTCAAGGCCTCACCGATGCTGCTGCTGCAAAAGATTGGGTCCAAAAGAATGTACAAGCCTTCCCTGACGTCAAGTTCAAATACATCGCAGTCGGGAACGAAGTACACCCCGGCGATCCACAGACCCAGTATCTCCTCCCGGCCATCCAAAACATTCATGATGCAATTGTAACAGCCAATCTGCAAGGCCAGATCAAAGTCTCAACAGCAATTGACACAACCCTTGTGGACAGTGCCTACCCTCCTTCAGCTGGAAAATATAGTGATGCTGCAAAGTCATTCATAACCCCAGTTATCAACTTCCTAGCCAGCAATGGGGCCCCTCTTCTTGTCAATGTGTATCCTTACTTCAGCTACCATGACAATCCTGCTCAAATAGAACTTGCCTATGCCTTATTCACCTCACAAGGGATCACAACGCCCGACGGTGTAAAGTACCAAAACCTGTTTGATGCTCTTTTGGACGCTCAGTACTCGGCTCTTGAGAAAGCCAATGCTCCCAACGTGGAGATCGTCGTGTCGGAGAGCGGTTGGCCATCCGAAGGTGATGATGTTGCAACCCCTCAAAATGCACAAACATTCTACCAGAATTTGATCAACCATGTGAAAGGTACTACTGGGACTCCAAAGAGGCCTGGAAAAGCTATAGAAACTTACCTTTTTGCCATGTTTGATGAAAATACCAAGGGCGGTGATGAAGTTGAGAGACACTTTGGTCTTTTCTCTCCCAACAAACAACCCAAGTACCAACTCACCTTTGGCTAGAGGAGTGACACTATCATTTGTCTTGAGTACGTAGAATATTTAAGCTGAATAAGAGTGCCTTGTCCCTGTTCTTCTAATACAATAAAATAATAAGATGCACAAGATTATTATGAATTCTGATGTTGGTGAAGTTGTTTTTGAAATACAAAACCAAAAATAAAGGAAGAAGGTGATAAAAAGGGATTCCTGGTCTTTATTTCATGAAAGGATCATATATTATTGGTGAACATTCTGTTTCAAGTCTATCATTACACAATCTACTTCTTTTTTCGATTGCATTCACAATTTAATCTTATTAATTGATGACATCCCCAAGCGCTAACAAGTTAATAAATGAATACTACAACTTTACTTTTAGACAACTACACAATGTAATCATATGATCTGAACTTTCATGTTTTAGATCATCAGTCAATGATCATCCCTAAAAATATTTACCTAAATCAGAAATTGCTTAGCCATTTTTTTATTTTATCAAATATAAACTTTATTAGATAAACTTTAACAATACAATTAAATTATTACCATGAATATTTTCATTATATTTATCAAAAATATTTTGTTTCCATATTTATCTTATTAAAATTAGATAACTAAAAGATCTTTGATTTGACTAAACTTTTAGAGGGTTGACTTTCAATTAAGAGCTAATAAATAAATAGTTCGAATTGCAGTAGAGCTCTATTATTCCTTATAGAATGTAATTGGCTACAAATATTACAATCTTGTCTTAATTACACCAATATCCCTTGAAACTATGGTCAAATCTCACTTTGCCTCCCCCACAACTCAAAAAAAAATAATACAAAATAATACAAAAAAAAATTTAAGTGACCTACTTTCCCCGCTTGACCAAGGTTTGGTGATTCACTTTACCCCATACCGTCAATTCCATCCAAAATTCTGTTAAATCTAATGACGTTGCAGGATTTTTTTATAATTTAATATATGGGCCCAATTTTTTAATGAGATAGACTCCATGTGGGCAAAATAAATAATAAACAATTCTTCAAAAAAAAAAAAAAAAAAAAAAAAAAAAAAAAAAAAAAAAAAAAAAAAACAACCCCAAACACCACAACCTCTCTCCCTCCCGTATCAACCCTAAACCCATCCAGCCCCCAGCGGCATCCCCACCCACCCAGCGCACCTCTTCTTTCCGATGTGCAACCTCCTCATCCCCTGCCATCTCTCTCTCTCTCTCTCTCTCTCTCTCTCTCTCTCTCTCACCTCCCCACAAAAAAAAAATGCCAACCTTGATTAAGAGTATTTTTCTCAAATCATTTCCCTTGCTTGGTTTTGTACAAGATACAAATCAAAGGCTAATCAGCACTTAATAAATACAAGATTAAGTCCACTAATCAAGTAATGGGTTTTCTTAAAGTCGTTTTTTGATTCAATTTCAAATCACTTGAATTTTCTTTCTTTCTTACTCTCTGGTGGTCCAAATTAAAGAAAAAAAGTTGCAAACTTTTCTTCCAGGTTGCATTAAAACACTGCCGTATTAATGTCAACCAAAAACCTATGCATGGCTATAAAATATAGAGCAGTACATTGAACTTTGGCAGCACACTATCTTGTTGGTTTTTGGTATATAGAAAAACGTTTATGCAGAAGAGAGAAGAAAAAACCAAAGAGAATGAGAAAATGTTCTGTATTTTTTTCTATATTCAGGTCTGAGCAAAAACCTGCTCATATACATGACATAAGGTGCCAAAATCAGGATCCTAAATTTTAGGATACAAGGACTCATCTCCTACCATTCATAATGATTGGAGGCTACGATTCTTACACCTAGGCTAGAGTCTGTTAACACAGTACAGCTAAGAAACAGACAAAAGAACCAACTGTAGAAATTATCCCAAAATAGCTAGAGTAGCTAACGGCTACTTCCCAAAAGGGAAAGTTCTTCAATTCTTCATTCTTCTCAGGAACAATCTGTAGGATTGTCATTTGCAGTTTCTTATTAAGCTCAGTGAGTAGCTTAATTCTCAACAGCCTCTCTTAAGCTGCTTACTGGCTTAACTCAAGTTTCAACCTTAGTTGATTAAATCTGTCTTTAGGCAGTGCCTTTGTAAAAATATCTGCAAGTTGTTCTTCACTTCTGCAGAATTTCATGTCAATCACTTCTTCTTGTAGAGCCTCCCTTATGAAATGATACCTCCTGTTTATGTGTCTAGTCCTTTGATGAAAAACTGGATTATTGGCCATAGAAATTGCTAACATATTGTCACGTAAAATAGGTGTTGCCTCAGTTTGCATTTCACCAAAATCATCAAGGACAAACCTTAACCAAATAGCCTGTGCTGTTACCTCAGCTGCTGAGACATACTCAGCTTCAGCTGTTGATAGTGCCACTGTATTTTGTTTCACAAAGGCCCAAGAGAATGCTCCACTTCCAAAGCTGAATGCATAGCTAGAAGTGCTCCTGCTATCATCCTCACTGCCTGCCCAATCTGCATCACAGAATCCAATGAGAATTGCAGACTTATCCTTCACATACTCAATGCCATAGTTGAGAGTTCCTTGCACATATCTTAGGACCCTTCTTGCAACTCCCATATGCTTCTTTGTAGGACTAGTCATAAACCTTGACAGCAAACTGGCAGCATACATCAAATCTGGTCTAGTTGCTGTTAAGTATAGTAGACTTCCTACTATCTTTCTGTAGAGTCCTTCATCAGCTAAGTCACTTCCATCCACTTTCTTGAGTCTCTCACCAGTAGGCAATGGAATGGATACTGGTTTGCAATCTTCAAGCCCAAACTTCACAAGCAAGGATTTGGCATACTTGCTTTGATGAATGAAAACCCCTTGATTAGTTTGTAGTATTCCCATGCCCAAGAAGTGATGAAGGAGTCCAAGGTCTGACATTTCATATCTCTGCATCATCTCCCTTTTAAACTCAGCAAGCATCCTCTCACTGTTTCCAGTATAAACAATGTCATCAACATAGATTGAGACAATGATTAAACCTCCTTCATTATCAGATCTAGTGTACAAAGTAGCTTCACTAATGCTTCTTTTGAACTTGCACATAGATAAATATGCATCAATCTCACTGTACCAGGCTCTAGGAGCCTGCTTAGGTCCTTACAAGGCTTTTTTCAGCTTGTAAACCTTGTGACTTGCATTTTTCAGTTCAAAACCCTCAGGCTGCTCTACATATACTTCCTCATCAAGCACACCATTTAGGAATGCTGACTTGACATCTAACTGAAACAACTTCCATCCTTTTTGTGCTGCAAGAGCAATGAGAGTTCGAATTGTGTCTAACCTTGCAACTGGTGCAAAGGTTTCATTGTAGTCAATTCCAGGTTTCTGTGCATACCCTTTTGCTACAAGTCTGGCCTTATGTTTTTGAACTATTCCATCCAAATTAAGCTTGGTTTTAAACACCCGCTTCACACCTATAACAAGTTTATCTGCTGGTCTCTCAACCAATTCCCAGGTATTATTCTTCTCTATCATTTCCAACTCAGCATTCATAGCTTCTTGCCAAGCTAAATCACCAGCTGCTTCTTGATAGTTCTCTGGTTCAATGATACACATGTGGCATCTTGCATATATGACTTCCAAAGTTCTCAACTTCACTGGAGTAGAGCTAGGTGTAGAAGCTTGACTGTTATTTCCTACTGAAACACCAACAGTTGTGTTTGAGTGAGAGCTGCCACCATTATCAAACTGAGTTGTTTCAGTTTGTTCTTCACCAAATTCAGTTTCTGTTTCATTTCCTCCAAGGTTGAATGGTATTGGAACATATTCCTCTTGATCACTCTTCCAATTCCATGCCTTGTCCTCATTGAAAATTACACTCCTTGAGAGCACAATTTTCTTAGATTGCAGGTCATACACTCTGTAACCCTTTTCACAGCTTCCATATCCAATAAAAACTCCCTTTCTAGCCTTGTCATCAAACTTCTGCCTCAAGGGTGATGGAACATGAGTATAACAGATACAACCAAACACTTTCAGATGCTTGATTCCTGGCTTTCTTCCTGTGAATGCTTCAAATGGTGTTTTGCTCAGCACAGATGTTGTAAAACATCTGTTTTGGAGATACACAGCTGTACTTACAGCTTCTGCCCAAAAAATCACAGGGATTCCTTTCTCTGTCATCATGGATCTTGCCATCTCACATATTGTTCTATTTCTCCTCTCAGCAACTCCATTTTGCTGAGGAGAGTAGGCAATGGTTAATTGCCTCTCCATTCCCATGCTTGCACAGAATTCTTGAAACTCATGTGAGGTATATTCACCACCTCTATCACTCCTTAGTTTTTTCAAACTAAATCCACTTTGCAATTCAACAAAGGCTTTGAATTTCTTGAACACATTAAAGGTATCAGATTTGTTTCTGAGAAAGTATACCCAGCACATTCTTGAAAAATCATCAATGAATATGATGAAGTACCTATTTCCACCAATTGACTCATTTTGCATTGGCCCACACAAGTCTGTGTGCACTAATTCTAGTGGACAGCTTGCTCTCCATGCTCCCTCTTTGTCAAACTTCTCTCTGTGATGTTTTCTTGAAACACAACCTTCACACACATCCTTCATTTCGGTTAACACAGGTAGTCCAGCCACCATTTCCATCTGCTGCATTTTTTTCATGCTAACAAAATTCAAATGTCCAAGTCTCCTATGCCAGATCCAAGAATCTTCAGTCACTGATGCTTTTCTAGTTGCAGGTGTCATAGATTCTAGTGAGAGAGGGAAGCATCTATTTCCTCCCATGACCACTTTAGCTACAACATTGTTGAGGCTGCCATCATCAAAAATAACTGCCATGTTACCCCCAAATAGGACATAGTAACCATGCTCCATCATTTGGCCTACACTCAATAGATTCTCATCCAAGCCCGGAACAAGCAACACTTCATGTATATACCTTCTCCCATGTTGAGTTTCAACTACTAGAGTGCCTTTTCCAGTTGCTTGTACAAGATCTCCAGTGCCCATTTTAACTTTGCAAGTCACAGTCCTGTCAATGTTTATTAACACAGACTTTTGAGAAGTCATGTGGTTGCTGCAGGCGCTGTCCACAAACCATACACTTCCATTTTTCACACTTGCAGAGTGGCAAGCATAGAACATGGTGCCTGTGATTACCTCTTCCTCCTTTGCACAGTTAGCCACCTGCTTGTTGCCTTCACAGTCTTTTGCAGTATGACCAAACCTATTACATTTTCCACATCTAGGTTTGCCTTTGTGCCTGCACACACCAAAATGATACTTTTGACAGACTTGGCATTGTGGTTTCACACTTCCTTGACTGCTGCTACCTTGCTTGTTCTGAGAATTGAAACTATTGTTCCAATTTCCTCCAGCATTGTTATTCCAGCTTGAGCCATTGTTATTTTGAGACCAATTTGGTCCCTTTTTGTCTTGTCCCTGCCACTTTTGATTTGGTCTACTCTGTGAGCCCTTATTAGAGCCATGAACTTGGTTATTTCCAACCTTGAGGCTACTAAAAGCTCTCTCAGTTCCAGCCACTTTATCTCTTTCATCATGCAAGTCTTCCCTTTTATCATAAACCTTGACAGATGCAATAACTTCTTCAACTCTAAGAACATCAAGATCTCGAGTTTCTTCAATGATAGACACAATGGACTTATATTTTCTACCTAGGCTCATCAAGAGTTTTTGCACAATTCTTGTTTCAGACACATCTTCACCAAGTGATTTCAAATTATTCACAGTTCCAAAAAACTTAGACAAATAGCTATCTAGGCTTTCACCATCTGTCATTCTCATATACTCAAAATCTGCTCTAACAGCTTGAAGTTTTACAGCTCTTACCTTTTTATCTCCTCTGTACTCTCTCCTCAAGACATCCCAAGCTCCTTTTGCAGTCTTTTCATTTCTGATGCGAGGGAAGAGCTCATCAGTTAAGGCTCCTTGAATGAGACTCAGTGCCTTGGCATTTTTGATTCTGTCTTCTCTGGAGATAGTAGGTGCTTCCGCTGGAATTTGCTCAGCTTCACTTCCTTCACCTCCAGAGTCTTCTTCCTCCTCAATAACTGGCTGAGGTTGTACTCCGACCTCAACTACATCCCATAGATCATGTGCTATGAGGATGGTCTCCATTTTGACAGCCCAAAAATCATAGTTTGCACCATCAAACTGTGGAGTTCGTAGATCTCCACCTGAAGAACCTGATCCCACCATTTTCCTAGTGAGTCTTAGTGAACCAAACAATAAAAGAGCAACCTTTATCCCTTTTGGGAATTTTTCAGGAAAGCTCTCTCTCTCACAGCTTACGGCCCTCTCTGGATTCAGACCAGGAGCTCTGATACCATGTTGGTTTTTGGTATATAGAAAAACGTTTATGCAGAAGAGAGAAGAAAAAACCAGAGAGAATGAGAAAATGTTCTGTATTTTTTTCTATATTCAGGTCTGAGCAAAAACCTGCTCATATACATGACATAAGGTGCCAAAATCAGGATCCTAAATTTTAGGATACAAGGACTCATCTCATACCATTCATAATGATTGGAGGCTACGATTCTTACACCTAGGCTAGAGTCTGTTAACACAGTACAGCTAAGAAACAGACAAAAGAACCAACTGTAGAAATTATCCCAAAATAGCTAGAGTAGCTAACGGCTACTTCCCAAAAGGGAAAGTTCTTCAATTCTTCATTCTTCTCAGGAACAATATGCAGGATTGTCATCTGCAGTTTCTTATTAAGCTCAGTGAGTAGCTTAATTCTCAACATATCTTGCTAGCTAGACCCATGTTCCTCACCCAGCGCTGCATATAGTCATGGTGTCCTTGAGCAGCCATATCAGATGCAAGAAATGGTGGTAGAGAGACGAGGAGGCGATGGTGGGTTTGACTGGGAGGTGCGCTTCTTTTTTTTTTTTTTTTTTTTTTTTTTTTTTTTTTTTTTTTGGGTTTGGGGAAAAGAAGAAGAAGAGGAAGAGGCTTTGAAGAATGCACTGATCTGTGATTGCATTTCATGAATGCGTGGAATTTGATATAGGGTTCGATATGATTGCATTACGCTTCAATCATCATTTACTTTGATTTCGGGGATGTTGGTGGCGGCTAGGGCTGTGTGGGTAGGGTTGATACGCGAGAGGAGGGGAGAATTTGATGGGTTTGGTTTTTTTTTGTTTTTTTATATTTTTATATTTTTTTAATTTTAAATATTATTATATAAAATTAAAAAAATTTATTAAAGAATTGTTTATTATTTATTTTGCCCACAGTCCATTTTAAAAAATTGGGGCCCATATATTAAATTACAAAAACACCCATGCCATGTCATCAAATTTTACAAAGTTTTGGATGGAGTTGACGGCATGGGGTAAAGTGGGTCACTAAACCTTGGTCAAACGGGCATTGTGGGTCACTTTAAGTTTGGGGGGGCAAAGTGAGATTTGACCATAGGCTCAGGGGCATTGGTGTAATTAAGCCTAAACCATCTCAACTAAATTGCAACAGTTAGCCTCGCTAGTGATGCATTAGGCATATGGGTTTAGTTCACTATAAAATTATAGGGAGCTTTGATTTAAAATCAATGGGAAGTTTACTATTGTGGTAGATGATAATTCAATTTGACCTAATTTAGATAAGGTTAATGACTAAAATATAGTATCCAATTTTACAATAATGTAATTAAAAACCTTTAAAATTACACATATTGACTCGAACTAAACACATGATAATTGAATAATTGTGATTGATATTATATTTCTCTAAGAGGAGTATATATATATATATATATATATATAATATACATGTACAAATTGACTTTTCCTACAAGGAAAAGTAATTAGCTAATTACAAGAAATCCTAACTAGGTAACTATTCTAATTAGGTAACGTGAATTACACAGGAAATCAGGGATCCCATGATCCCTGAATTATGACTCACGCCAACATTCCTACTCAAGTTGGTGCGTAGATATCTCCTTGCTATAAGACATTCGCCAAATTTTCTTTCTGACTTTACAAATGGTATATCAATTAGCTTGTCTACCAACTTTTCCATAATATGCCCATCCACTTCAACATGCTTAGTTATGTCATGTTGAATTGGATTATTTGTTATCTCTCTTACAGCTTGGTTGTCACAATAAAGCTCCATAACTTTCTTTGGTGGAAAACCAATTTCGGATAGGAGTATCCTTAGCCAAAAAAGCTCACAAGCTCCCTGTGTTGTGCCCCTATATTCTGCCTTAACTGAAGATTGAGCCAATAAATTCTCATTCTTACCTCACCATGTAACCAAATTACCCCCAATGAAAGTGAAGTAACCTGATGTAGAACATCTTTCTGTTATATTACATACCTAATATGCATATGTATAACCCAGTTTTCTAAATATCAAGCCTCGGCCTAGAGCTTTCTTCAAATAACTCAGAATCCTCATAACTGTAAGCGACCCTTACTATGAAAATGCATGAATTAGCTAACAACACTAATTGCATATGCAAGGCCTAGTGTGTAAAAGATAAATTAGTCTTCCCACAACCTCTGATTGTTGAAATAAAAAAAATTCTTTGGCAACAAATTAAATTCTGGCCCAAGTTTAAAGAAGTTGGACTCATAGCTAAAGTGGTCTTGTGGACTTATTGTTAAATTGGTTTAGGCCCAAAATGAATTAATATTTTTTTCAAGAAAATATTAATAAATTGAAATATGCTTCATGTACGTGACTTTGGAGTGTGGAGTTGAGGGGTTGACTGAAAATGGGAAGTTACTCCCACCCACACAGTACGTGAGGCCATAACTAGCTCCACCCTGTCAGTTCCTCTGGGTCTATAAAAAGGGACCAAATGAGGCAAAAAAAAACACAGAAGAGAAAAAAGTACCAAACTGCTGCAGAAATCCAAAGAAGAGAAGCAAGCAAAAGAGATACGAAGCTCTGTCACAATGCCATTGAGAAGGTATAAACTAATCCATTTGAGTATCCTTTTATGTACAATTGATTTGTAGGCAAAAAAAATGTATGTGAGACCATTGTACAGAAGCCTAAACTTCCTCCATGTTTGATATCAAGAGAGATCTCAGCAGTGGAAAATGTAAACAAATCCTCTCAAATATGCAGTAATCATGCTATTTACACAGAGAGCTCCTGCAAGGACCTTTCTGTTGTGAATGTACAGATGGGCTTCTGCAAGAACCCCACTATACTGAGTGCTATGAACACGTTGTGAGTGTCCATAAGCATGTTGTGGTACTTAGAGAAAACCTTGCGAGTGTTCTTGAGTACCAAAAACAGAAAATGGCGTGTTATATACTTCCCCACCTTCAGCACAACGAAATTCCAGATCTGCAAATTGGAGAAAGAACAAGTGGCAAAACATGCTGCAAATGGAGAAAATCAATCACTCTGCTTTAGTCTCACCCATTGGCATAAACAAAAGAAAATATAAGAGAAGATATTAAAAGAGATGTAGAAACTACTGATTGCCAGAAAGCTTACAAAAGTTGATGACTCACATCCAGGTATCGTGCTTCAACATGTTGTTAACAGAGGGAAATCCCAAGCCAGCCCACGAAAGTTACTACGACAACACTCTTTTGCAGCAATTTTGAAAATATCATTAAAGATTCTCAATTTGTTACTGGCAAGACATGAGGTAAGTGAGATCTCAGCTTGCAAATGGAAATATGCAATGAAATTGGAAGAGAAAGAATACATCAAAGCATCAGCAAGCAAAAAGTGAAAGAAAAATGACTCACCAATTTCAGGCTAAGAAGCCTCCTGTGTTGCGGCTGTTGAAGAACCCAAAAGCAACATAAGCCAAAAACAAAGAAGCCTAAAAGTTGAAGAAGTCCCAGAAGCTGAAAGAGAAACTAACAAAAAGAAAAAGAAAAGTGATGAAAAGCAAATAAAAAGAAAAGAAACGAAAAGCAAAGAGAAGGAAATAAGACCCAAAAAAAAAAGTAAAAATAACCTGCCAAAACAAAATGAATGACGCCTAGGATGACTTTCAATTCATGGTTAGTCGACTAGATGGTCTACTTTGACAGACATGAGCAAAGGAAAGGACTTGCCTTAGTTTTGCGTCTCAAACCCAAGGCTCCGTATTGATTGTGGCAAATGAGTAGTTGAAGAGATATATAATTTGGTCCAGTTTGAATTGATTTGAACTACTCCAGATAAAGATGGGAGTGACTCAGTTTGGATTGATTTCTACTACTCCAAATAAATATCGGTTTCAAATGCAGCCGGCTCTCAAAGCTCTTCTGACATGGCTTTGTTTATGGGCCAACTAATAGAAATGTTATGGCCCAAAAACAAATTGATGGGTCGACAAAACAAATTACCCATTAACTTTCAAAAGCCCAAAATATTTTATGGGTGGTCCAAATAAATTATGTGGTTAATAGATTAAAAAATCTCTCCATATTTCCCATGGTACTTTTGTACCGTAAAGATCGCAGTTTGGAACAACGCCTTTGCGATAGTCCTCTCCGTTCAGTCTGGAGAGAAGGTAGTGAAGAAATAGTTCTTCTTCTGAAGGTCTGAACTTGTAGCCCACTGGAACTGGATAATAGCCACCCATACTTTTTGTAGAGTACTAGTGCTGATAGAGGAAATAATGATTGTGAATATGGTGATCAAGTTTGAGGGTGTATTTATAGTGGTCATTAGGGTTGAATATCTTGCAACCCAAGCTCATCAGTTTCCGAATTATTCAGGTAATGATTTTATGGACCAATCATGGCTTGACATGTAACATGGATTGAGATAATTAAGCTCAGGTGTCTTTTATTGCAGATAATTATGCCCAACGAGAATAAATAGCCACCGCCATATTATATATTTTCCTTGAAATATGGAAACTATTTCCACCAAAAATAAAATAAGTTTCCATTTTTCACCAACATGTATATGCATGTTTTTAATTTTGGTAAATATTTCGAACTTTTATTTTATCCTTATCCATAGAACATAATTTTTTTTTTAAATTATTTTAATTTTAATGGATTAGTATTTACGTGTTTTGAAATTTTTCTTAGATGAAGATATGATTTTAGATTATTTGAAAATTAAACCATAAGATACATGAACAAACGCCGACTGTAATGAAGAAATTATATTTTATTTTCGGTGTGTTTTTACTACTTGTAAGTTGTAACCTAAATTAATAAAAACACAAAATAGTATTTGAAGCTACGGAAATGCTAATGGATTGAAGACCTCTAATCTCCTCGACCCCTCAACTTGCCGTTGTTTCTCTTTTTTGCCGTTCAACAGTTTTCATATGAGTTGTTCAGATTTTGATATGGCTGAAATTATATATATACAAAAATGAAATATTTTGGTCTGTTTTTCGGGAGTTTTTCAAATTTTATTTAATTAAAATTTTTGATAGTTGTAATTGATGGAATGGAGATTTTCGATTTATCGAAAGATGTTAGATGGCCAGAAAAACCAACCTTTATGTGTTGAGTATATGGTTATATGTAAGGGAGAGTTGCACTAACTTTGTGAGGGAATGACTGGGCCTGACCACAGAGATGAATCTAGGATTTGAAAATAGGGTGGGTTAAATTTATCTTATATACAAACTTAGAAAACTTGAAGGTACGAGTGAATTTTATTGAAATATGAATTTTAAGGTGAATTAGCAATTACATGATAAACTTCTCCATGAAAGGAAAAAAATTTATAGCATTTATTATCCATTACAAAAGAAGAAGAAGAAAAACTGAATCATTTTAATCCATCCAAGCCAAAATAAAAATGAGAAGAAGTAGCCAAAATTTATATATAAAAAAATGAATTTATGTTTTATGTACACTAGATGGTAAATGTATTTTTTTTTACAGAAAAAAGTAAAAGATGTTCTCTAGGAATTCGTGTCTTATGAAAAATGTCTTATGAAAAAGGCTGAGTAATAAATATTAATAAATAAAAAAAAAAAAAAAAAAAAAAAAAAAAATTCTGTGGGTGGGATCACATCAAGTCGCATGGGCTATAGTCCATGTTAGCATGGACGTAGTTCCGTCCCTAGGCCTGATACGATTGCTTCTTCTCTTAAGGCTAGGATTAGAGGAACCCATTGTTGGGGATTTTTGGAGCCCGATTAGCTCTTTAATGTTTTCGTTTATAAGAGATAGAAATCTTCTGAAACCGAAACACCCCTTGACTTCATCAATGAGATTGCCATCTGATGCAAGTTCCTCCTCTGTTTTTCCAATTGACAAATAACTTCCCCTTTGTTATTACGAATGAACACACCCACACCACCTCTCTCCATCAATATTTAGCTTTCTCCACCAACACAACCAGAGACTCAACAATATTTTCATGAACCAGTTTATTTCTAGTATGCACGAGCATCCATAAACAAGAGCCAAATCTCACCGACTCACACTTATTAGACAACACTTTGAAGGCCCAAGAAAACAAATTTATAACATTACGAAAAATGGTACATGTGAAAAGACTCCCGAAAACCAGCCAACTTCCAAAATTCACGAGCATATATGCACTCCCAAAGCGTATGAAGGGCATATATCTTTCTTCAGTAAGCATATTTAACAATTATATCCAAGAGATGAGATTCTCTTTAGATGGCAAAATATTATGTGCTGCTATGCCCAACAAAAAACTTAATTTTCTCCACCACATGTAAAGACCAAACTGATCTCCATACAGAAAGAATTACGTGCACGTCACCCACTAACCAAAGGGACTAATCAAGTCTTTGAATCGGGATCTAGAGAGTTAAAAGACGTCGGTGGTTATACAAGTGACATGGTGGCCAGAGCCGGTCTAGTGTTTTCTAAGGCCCTGGGAAAATTTTGTAAGTCCCTTTAGACAAATTAAACACTGCTCAGATGCATGCATTTGGTAAATTTTCAAGTGAAGCATTGGTCTTTTCAACAAAATATTCATTCAAAGATCCTCTTACACTTGGAAAAATTTCTTCTTCTTTTCCTTTTTTGTCTTTTGAGATTTCCATAAAGTTGTTTGTTAGGAAGCATTTTTTAATTTTTATAATAAACACAACACAATAACAAATAACTAATTAACAAATAACAATAAAACTTTTGAGCATCTTTTCTTTAACTTGAAACTTCCAATTGTACAGAACAAGAATCTTTTCCAAATTTTTTTGTTGAATCATATAATAAAGAAAAAGAAGTTAATAAACATGTGTGTAATGTATTATAAAATTTATACATTTATATCTATTTATAAAAAAGGAAGAATCTTGAAAGATCTGATAAATAAATAAAAATCTTGAAAGAAAGGCACTGGTCTGGTCTTGTGGAGGATTGTTTTCCAACTCGATGTTGGAGAAGAAGAGAATCACAAAAAATAAAAATAAAAATTTGCTTGCATTTGAGAGTCTTCTTGTGTTGTGTTTGAGAGCCTTTTTGCTTTTTGATTAAAAATAAATAAAAAGCATAGAAAATTAGTTAAATACCCATTCCTAGACATAAAACTATAAAAATACCCTATACTATTTAATGTATATAAACACACCCAAAATAAACCCAAAAGTCAACAGTTGTATATTTTTTAATTTAATTATTAAAATGAAATACCTTTATTACCCTTTTAACATAAAATTGGAATTCTAATCAACAACAGATCAGAACCCATTTCACGACCTCCAGTCTCTCATCTTCATCTTCAACACCAATTTTTAGTTTTTGTTCAACCTCATCATTCTAAGCTTCATCGGAGGGCTCGCTTGGGCTATCGACAATGATGCGCTGGAGAGGGCCTTTTCTCCGTTCGGTGAGATCATCAAATTGAAGAGTCGTTTGATGCATGTTCTCTCTCTGCTTCTTGATCTTTTGTTTCTCTATGTTACTTGATCTTTCTCTCCCAAAGATTGAAGATCGATCGATTCCTTTCCATTTTTGTTTATTATTGTGTATTTGTTTGATTATACTCTAGCGTTTTTGTTTTGATGGACGGATCTGATTTGATTTGGTTTCTTTTTGTGTTTCCAGATCATCAACGATCTAGAGGTCCAAGGGCTTCGACTTCGTCACCTTCAACAACGAGAAGGCCATTAGGGATGCGATCAAAGGCATGAACGACCAGAACCTCGACAGCCGTAACATCACAGTCAGCGAGGCCCAGTCTTGTGGAAGCGGCAGTGGTGGTAACGGAGGTTACAGCTCCGAAGGGGGCGGCGGAGGATATGGTTGCAGGCATTCACTTCACTAATTGCTCCAAAGTCCAGTTCGCCATGAATCCGTATCATTGCTCAGCTCAGCAGCTCTTCTGTCTCAACCGTCAGTCAATAGTCCTCCTTCCTTTCTAGTTCCTAGCCATAATTGAGATGCTATTGCTTTGCCTTGTTTTGCCCTTGCTCCTTACTTTATTGATGATGATTGATTTTGTCACATTAGCTGAAGCTGAAGTCGTATATGGTGCTAGTATTAACTATTGAATTTCATGCTCTTTGCATTCCTCATTTCTAACGAATATGCATCCCCGGTTGATGATTAGACTGCTCAATATTTATTTAAAAAAATACTGTCATTTCTCCCATTTTGGTTATGCTTTTTGCTTCTCTTTTGCCTTGCCTTTTTCATGAGAGAAATAAGAGATTGCTCTCCTAGGGAATTCAGACTAAGAATATGTATTGGTAGAAAACTTTATATTGAATAGATTCTGCCTACAACAACTTATTTTAAATATTCCTATACAGCAGACGGGGACTTGCACCAAACCAAACTTCTTCTTCTTCTCTTCTTCTTCTGTATATTTATTTATTTGGTTGTTATTGAGAGAGAGAGAGAGAGAGAGAGAGAGAGAGAGAGAGTTGGGTTGGTGTGCGTACGTGTGTATGTGTGGGACTGATCTTTTATACAAATTGAAAAACTCTCTCTGTCTCTCCAGAAACTTTTGTTGGAAAAAGAATCCTCTGAGATTTCTTGAATAAAGTTTCAATAATGTATCACACTACTAGCTTTGCCATGCTACTATGTATTATGGTGCCCCATATTAATCTCTACATATTTATCCGTTGACCACATAAAAATGACCTTTAAAGCAACAACTTTAGTTTAATTATTGTCATTTAAACATTTATCTATCTTTCTTGTTGCAAACTCATAGAGATTGGTAGGTCCATGAAGGTCCTGAAAAAGGAGATATTTTATTTACTTCATTGTGTAACGAGTTAACATTACAATATATGTAACCACGTACCATTACAATAACTTTATATTGAAATTTTGACGCGGGGAGTGAATGGTTTCATATTATCCCTATAGTTTGTAGTGAAATAGCAGACTATTCAAATTCTATGTACTATTTCACCTTATCAGTTATGCGCTTTGGGCTTATAATTGTTATCTGTGTTGTTCCAATTATTCTATTATGCTTAATTATTTTGTTCTTATTTTCGTATTGTTAGATTTGGTGAACAACCTTGGTACCATTGCAAGGTATAGCACCAAGGAATTTATGGAAGCCTTGGCTGCTGGTGCAGATCTTGTTGTAGATAAGGTCATTGTTACTACCAAGCACAATGATGATGAGCAGTATGTGTGGGAGTCGCTCTGATTCAATGTTTATGGTATGTGGAGTGATGAAGGATCAATTAATTATGCAAATGAAATGATGTAATTGATTTTGAGTGGTATGGAGTTGTACACTTTTATCGTACCAATTATGTAAATGAAATGATGTAGTTGTTAACTTCCAGTAAGTTGTATGAACAGTATAATAACTGTTCATACCCTGCAACTGAGTTGATTTCTATAACATAATATTAACAGTGTACTTCTATGACATAGTATTAACAGTGTACTTTGTTTTCTTTTTGTAAAAGTATTTCCTTTTGCCTTTGCGATTGTATGTGGTGAAACTATGAACAATTGGAGGTGGTTTCTGCAAAAGATATCGGATGTCTTGTTGGGCTGTTATAATTTTTTTAAATTTTTTTTGTATGAAATGGTATTAACAATGTACTTTTATAAAATGGTATTAACAATGTACTTCTATCACATTGTATTAACAGTGTACTTCTATAACATCGTATTAACAATGTACTTCTATGAAATTATATTAATAATGTACTTCTATCACATGGTATTAACAATGTACTTCTATCACATGATATTAACAGTGTACGGAAGTTCAGTGGAGAAGGGTCGTAAGGACAGCTCCTTGATTTTCACGATTTTTTTTTAGTTTGAGTTTTTTTTTAAATTTGGGTTGGGCTTGTTTTGGGTTCTTTTTGAATTTTTTGTGTTGGGCTTGTTTTAAATTAATCAATGGTAGAGATGTAATTTATAGGAACTTTAACACTCATTTCTTATTTAGTAAATAGGTTTTGGGTGTGTTTCTAAAGTGCATTTCATGTGAGGTTTTTTTTTATAATTTCAGCTCCTATTTTGGGTATATTACTAAAGCTCCCTAAAAAGAAGGCATGTTGGTTTATCTTTGTTTAATTTCCCTATGGTTGGTTTTTCTTTGGTTATATTATATAATATATAATATATATTTGACTTTGTTTTCTAAGGAAGTTTCCTCCTTGACAGGATTTTCCTCCATTTGAGGGTTTTTAAAGGTAAGGTTTTTATGAGGCCACACTTGTTACATTACTAAAGTCCAATCTTCTTTTTGTACTCTGACATTGTTGTTTCAATGAAGTTATCTCACTTTGATAAAAATAAAAAATAAAAAAAAGTAAGGAAGTTTCCTTAGGAGTATCAAAAAGTGATTTGTGCTGAGATGCCACCATATCAGGAACGACTCCTTCTAGTTTTGAAGGTTTGGTTCCTTTTTTTTTCTTTTTCTTTTATAAATGTACACATATATGAGCTATGAAAAAAATACAAATTTATAAATAAACCCAATTCTAGACATGTATTTATAAAAAAACTCAAGCACTATTTAAACATAGAAACACACCCAAAATCAACAATTGTATATTTTTTGGGTGTGTTTATAAATGGGTTTTGAGTGTGTGTAATGATGGATTTTGGGTGTGTTTATAAAGTGTTTTGGGTGTTGGGTTTTTTTTATAATTTTAACCCTCATTTTGGGTGTTTTAGTGAAACTCCCTAAAAAGAACTGTGTGCCCCTCTCAACTTTGGGCCCCAAGCTGTAGCCCTGGTCGCCCTAGGCCAGGGCCACCTCTGGTGGTGGCATATCAATGCATGTCAGATTTCAAGAAAAAACAACATGGATAAAAAATACGCTAAATTTAAGTTATTTCAAGCACATCGGTTTTTTTTAAAAAGCAACATAGTCGCAAAACAAGCTAAACTTAAGTTATCTCTAAATTTTTGACATCTGTCCTCCCACACAACAGAGCCTAACACTTTTAACTCATATTAAAAATAATAAGAATAAGCTAACGATTTTGGAGAGTGGATCTGCTGTCCACAAAATCATAAGCTTATTCTCTGTTTTGAAATATGCAAAGGTTGATTTAGAATAATTTGAGATTAAGGAGGTATGCCAATTGGAACAGAACGACCAAAGTTAAATGTGGGATATTGAATACCTTCTCAGTCATGTGCGTTAAATGTAGGATATTGAACACCTTCTCAGTCATGTCCCCAACTCTTCTTGATTTTGGACTATCAAGAGTTGAATATTGAATACCTTCTCAGTAATATGCGTGAGGCCGAAGCAAACAAGAGTTGAATGTGGGACATCCAATCAAGCTCTCACTTCTATCATTTTCATCTCATTAAAATTACTTCAACTCCGAAGTTAAGGGACAAAGAATTTGACTCAAGTGTGAAAATCGCAAATGTCTTCCCAAACCATCTTCTGATTAAGAAAATAAGATACTGGAAGGACCTTTCAAAGTCTTGAACTCTGAAGACTCAAAAGTATTATAATAAAATCATGATAGCTAATGAATATGTGGTACGAGTGAATTTCATTGAAGTATGAATTTTAAGGTCAATTAGCAATTACATGATAAACTTCTCCATGAAAGGAAAAAAATTGATAGAATTTATTATCCATTACAAAAGAAGAAGAAAAATACTGAATCATTTTAATCCATCCAAGCCAACTTGGAAAATAAAAATGAGAAGAAGTAGCCAAAATTTATATTAAAAAAATGAGTCGACGTTTTATGTACACTAGAAGGTATTTTTTTTTTTTTTTTTTTTTTTTTTTTATAAAAAAGTAAAGGATGTTCTCTAGGAATGTGTGTTTTATGAAAAAGGCTGAGTAATGAATCTTAATTAACTAAAGAAAAAAAAAGGAGATTTTCTGTGGGTGGGAAAACTCTTTGTGGATTGAACATCTAAGACTTTTTACTTAAATTGACCTTAGGCCCCTTCATTCATTTATATCATACATGAGAAATTGTTTTATGTAAAAATATTGACTAAGTATGAAAAATGATTTTTCGAAATAATCATTTTCTCAAGATAATTTTTGGCGGCTTTTATTCCTTACACATCAAATAAGAAAACTTGATTTTATGGGATTTTATTATGAAGTATATATATTGACTTAATGACCATCATTTTTAGCCTAAATCGTATTTTACACTAAAACTGATTTTTCATATTTTGATTTGGTGGGAATTTGATTTTCTAGTATTTTTATTTGAATCTAAATAGGGGGTACTTCTTTATTTACATTGTAAACTTAAGTAAATGTCTTTGTCCTTTTACTTTAATTTATTTTTATATTACTCTATTTACTTAAATATTGAAAATGGAAATAAGGTAATATGTACATTACCACCAGCTGAGCAAATGGGCAATTTAAAGCACCCACAATGGTTTTTCCGGCGAAAGGAGGTGTAGCTACACCTCCTTGCGCCTTAGTAGGTCCGCCACTGGGTGGGATCACATCAAGTCGCCTAGGCTATAGCCCATGTTAGCATGGAAGTAGGTCCGTCCCTGCCTGACAAGATTGCTTCTTCTCTTGAGGCTAGGATTAGAGGAACCCATTGTTGGGGATTTTTGGGGCCTGATTAGCTCTTTAATGTTCTTGTTTATAAGAGAGAGAAATCTTCTGAAACCAAGTGAAACACCTCTTGACTTAATCAATGAGACCGCCATCTGATGCAAGTTCCTCCTCTGTTTTTCCAATTGACAAATAACTTCCCCTTTGCCATTACGAATGACCATACCAACACCACCTCTCCGAATGAAAACCCCATCAATATTTAGCTTCAAATTTCCGCACTCATCAAACAAATTCCTAGCTTTGTCCACCAACGTAACAAGAGACTCAACAATATTTTCATGAACCAGTTTATTTCTAGTATGCGCGAGCATCCATAAACAATAGCCAAATCTCCCCAACAAGCTCAAGAAAACAAATTTATAACATTACGAAAAATGGTACATGTGAAAAGACTCCCGAAAACCAGTCAACTTCCAAAATTCACGAGCATATATGCACTCCCAAAGCGTATGAAGGGCATATATCTTTCTTCAGTAAGCATATTTAACAATTGTCCTAGAGATGAGATTCTCTTTAGATGGCAAAATATTATGTGCAGCCATGCCCAACAAAAAAACTTAATTTTCTCCACCACATGTAAAAACCAAACTGATCTCCATACAGAAAGAATTACTTGCACGTCATCTTCAATAAAACACAATCTGAACAAGTTGATATCCCACTAACCAAAGGGACTAATCAAGTCTTTGAATCGGGATATAGAGAGTTAAAAGACGTGGGTGGTTATACAAGTGACGTGGTGGCGTATCAAAGCACGTCGGATTTCAAGAAAAAATGTGGATAACAAGCACGCTAAATTGAAGTTATCTCAAGCACAACGGTTTTATATAATAAAAAAGTGACGTAGTCGCAAAACATGCTGAACTTAAGTTATCTCTCAACCTAATTTTTCAGAGAGTGGATTTGCTGTCCTCAAATTGTGTGTCCCCTCCCTAAACCGGTTCTAAATTTTTGACATCTGTCCTCCCACACAACATGGCCTAACACTTTTAATTCATATTAAAAATAATAAGAATAAGCTAACGATTTTGGGGAGTGTAGCCGCTGTCCCCCAAATCATAAGCTTATTCTCTGTTTTGACATATGCAAAGGTTGATTTCGAATAATTTGAGATTAAGGAGGTATGCCGATTGGAACAGAACGACCAAAGTAAAATGTGGGATATTGAATACCGTCTCAGTCATGTGCGTTAAATGTGGGATATTGAACACCTTCTCAGTCATGTCCCCAACTCTTCTTGATTTTGGACCATCAAGAGTTGAATATTGAATACCTTCTCAGTAATGTGCGTGAGGCCGAAGCAAACAAGAGTTGAATGTGGAACCTCCAATCAAGCTCTCACTTCTATCATTTTCATCTCATTAAAATTACTTCAACTCCGAAGTTAAGGGACAAAGAATTTGACTCAAGTGTGAAAACCCCAAATGTCTAAGATACTGGAAGGAGCTGTCTAGTCTTGAACTCTGAAGACTCACAAGTATTATAAAATGAATATATGGCACTATAAATAACAAGACTCACAAGTATTATAATAAAATACACAAAACAATATTTGATAATATAACCATGATATCCTTTCATTTCTATAAAGCATGCTCTCTAGCTTGTTGCCTTCTCTTGTATGTTCAGCTGCTTTCATCATCAAATTACCTTCAATTAGCTTCTGCTAGTTCTACTGATGAGGCAAAGGCTCTTCTCAAATGGAAAGCCACCTTTCAAAATCAAACCCAAAACAATCTGTCCTCATGGGCTTACCCTCCCAGCAATAATGCCACCAACAATCCTAAAATCCCATGTACTTGGGCTGGTGTTTCATGCAATGCTGCTGGAAGTGTCATCGAGATAAACCTTACGGAGTTTGGTTTACAAGGTACGCTAAATGCATTTTCATTCTTGTCCTTCCCTGATCTTGAATATCTTGACCTCAGCTTCAACAAACTCTTTGATGCCATTCCACCTCAAATTAGTTACCTCTCCAAACTACACTATCTTGATCTCTCTCGAAATCAGTTTTCTGGGAGAATCCCACGAGAAATCGGTCTCCTGAGAAATCTTACCCATCTTTATCTCTTTGGAAATCAACTTTCTGGTTCTATTCCTAAGGAGATAGGGAATTTGAATTATCTTGTGCATTTAAGGTTGGGCAATAATCAAATCAATGGTTCAATTCCAAGATCACTAGCTGAGCTAACAAGCCTTACCTATCTTTCTTTACGTCACAATCAACTTTCTGGTTCTATTCCTAAGGAGATAGGGAATTTGAAATATCTCGTGGAGTTAAGGTTGGGCAATAATCAACTCAATGGTTCAATTCCAAGATCACTAGCTGAGCTAACAAGCCTTACCTATCTTTCTTTACGTCACAATCAACTTTCTGGTTCTATTCCTAAGGAGATAGGGAATTTGAAATATCTCGTGAAGTTAAGGTTGGGCAATAATCAACTCAATGGTTCAATTCCAAGATCACTAGCTGAGCTAACAAGCCTTACCTATCTTTCTTTACGTCACAATCAACTTTCTGGTTCTATTCCTAAGGAGATAGGGAATTTGAAATATCTCGTGGAGTTAAGGTTGGGCAATAATCAACTCAATGGTTCAATTCCAAGATCACTAGCTGAGCTAACCAACCTTACCCATGTTTCTTTAGGTCAGAATCAACTTTCTGGTTCTATTCCTACGGAGATAGGGAATTTGAAATTTCTTGTGCATTTAAGGTTGGGCAATAATACACTCAATGGTTCAATTCCAAGATCACTAGCTGATCTAACAAGCCTTTCCTATCTTTTTCTCCATCTCAATCAACTTTCTGGTTCTATTCCTAAGGAGATAGGAAATTTGAAATATCTTGCGCAGCTATTTTTGGGTGATAATCAACTCAATTGTTCAATTCCTGTTTCATTTGGTAACCTGAGCAACTTGGAAATCTTATACCTACGGAATAACCGACTTTCCGGGCCCATCCCCCAAGAGATAGAGAATCTCAAAAAGTTGAGTGTCTTGGCTTTGGATATAAACCAATTTTCTGGTTATTTGCCCCAAAATATTTGCCAAGGTGGAAAACTGGAAAACTTTACAGCAAGCAACAACCATTTCATTGGTCCAATCCCAAAAAGCTTGAAAACCTGCACGAGCTTAGCCCGACTTCGTCTTCAACGGAATCAATTGACAAGCAATATATCTGAGGACTTTGGTGTTTATCCGAATCTTAATTTTATAGATGTAAGCCACAATAACATGTACGGTGAAATCTCACGAAACTGGGGACAATGCCCGCGGTTGACAACCCTACAAATGGCAGGAAACAACATTACTGGTAGCATACTACTTGAGATAGGCAACGCAACCCAAATTCATGTGTTGGATCTCTCTTCGAATCATTTAGTTGGGGTGATTCCAAAGGAATTCGGGCGATTGGCTTCTTTGGTGAAGTTGATGTTGAACGGAAATCAACTTTCAGGTCCTATACCCTCGGAATTCGGATCCATGACTGATCTTGGACATCTTGACCTATCAACAAACAAATTTAATGAGTCAATTCCGAGCATTCTAGGTGACTTGCTCAAATTATACCATTTGAATTTGAGCAACAACAAATTATCTCAACCAATCCCACTTCACTTGGGGAACTTAGTTCAATTGACCGACCTCGATTTCAGTCACAACTCACTGGAAGGTAGGATACCATCAGAAATGAGCAACATGCAGAGTTTGGTGATGCTCAATCTTTCCCACAACAATCTTTCGGGTTCCATACCATCAACTTTCGAAGAGATGCGCGGTTTGTCGAACGTTGACATATCCTATAATCACTTGGAAGGTCCCCTTCCCAACATTAGCGCATTTCGAGAAGCTCCGTCAGAAGCATTAAAAGGGAACAAAGGATTGTGTGGCATAGTTGGAGGTTTGTCACCATGCAATGCAAGTGGCTCAAAAAGGGATCACAAGTTAATATTTTCTCTTCTGGCTGTACTTCTATCTGCTTTCTTTACGACTGTTTTTCTAGTGAAAAGAAAGAAGCATCATCAGGATAAAGCACAACAAAACATGCATGAAGAAATTTCCTTTTCTGTTTTAAATTTTGATGGAAAGTCAATGTATGAGGAAATCATAAGGGCAACAAAAGATTTTGATCCCACATATTGCATTGGGAAGGGAGGACATGGAAGCGTTTACATAGCAAGTTTGCCATCTGCCAATGTAGTGGCTGTGAAGAAACTCCATCTGTTGCAAAATGATGAGAAGAATCCTCAAAAAGGGTTCTTAAATGAAGTAAGGGCACTCACGGAGATACGGCATCGGAACATTGTGAAGCTCTATGGTTTCTGTGCACATAAACGACACTCTTTTTTGGTGTATGAGTATCTTGAAAGAGGTAGCTTGGCCGCAATGTTGAGTAAAGATGAAGAAGCTAAAGAGTTGGGGTGGAGTAAAAGAGCGAATATTGTTAAAGGTTTAGCACATGCCTTGTCTTACATGCACCACGATTGCTTGCCACCGATTGTACATCGTGACATATCAAGCAACAACATTTTGTTGGATTCTGAATATGAGGCCTGTGTTTCAGACTTTGGTACTTCTAAGTTTTTGAACCCAGACTCAACTAATTGGACTGATGCTGCAGGCACATATGGCTACATGGCACCAGGTAATATTTTCATCTATGTTCTCTGTATTTAAAACTTTTTATGCGTTTGTTTTTACACCAATGTTTCATTTTCATCATTAGAAGAGGTTAACATAAACACATCCAGCTTTTATTGAATTCCGTTTTTGTTAAGCTGGTTTTATTAGGTTTCAAAAAGAACTAAATTTCTCGAATTTGTAGGTGATGTTTTTCAATGATTTTTATTGGATTGGAAATTAGAAATTAATCACCCGACACTCTCCTTTTTATGAGAGGTAATCTTTTAAGCACTGAAATCTCAATGTTTTGTACGTGGTGTGTGATTTATGCAGAGCTTGCATATACAATGGAAGTGAATGAGAAGTGCGATGTTTATAGCTTTGGAGTTGTCACACTGGAAATAATTATGGGAAGCCATCCGGGAGATGTTTTGTCATCTTTATCAACCGGGGCGTCATCATCATCCGCATTTGCATCACCTGCCCCTGAAATGCCAATTTCGGATGTTCTGGATCAACGCATCTCCCCACCCACGAAACAAGAAGCGGGGGAAGTGGTCTCCCTGGTGAAGATAGCATTTGCATCCTTGAATCCCAGTCCGCAGTCTCGTCCAACAATGAAAAAAGTTTGCCAGCTCCTCTCATCAACTCAGACCCTGCATTTGTCAAAGCCATTGCATATGACAACATGTGGTGAATTGCTTGCTCTTGGTGGTTTCACTACCTGATCAGGATATTTGCCGCTTTTCTATATTTCACTTCATTTGTGTCTGTCTTGTTCTAATTCTTCATAGATGTATTGGGAAGGGAGGGCGTGGAAGTGCCTACAGAGCAAGTTTATGTTCCTTTGTAATTTTAATAAAAGGGTTTTCTCTTGTAATGCAATTTTTAAATTTTAACTTATTTTTAAAATATATTTTTTCCATTTAAATCCATGTGACATGGCAAAATAATAGTCATTTATGGTAAAAAGCAATATAATAATAAAATAAAAATTTTGGTATAGAGAAGTGCAATATAATAATAATTTAGGGTAAAAGAAAATATAGTAATAGTTTAGGATAAAAGGAAATATAATAACAATTTAGGATAAGAACTAATATAGTAATACTCTAGGGTAAATAATAATAGTTTATGGTAAAAATAAATGTAATAATAATTTAGGGTAAATAACAGTACAATAATAATTTAGGGTTAATAATAATATAATAATAATTTACAGTCCAAAGTAATATGACAATAATTTATGGTAAATAAAAATATAATAATATGGACATGTGGTGCAATCGTAGAACGCCACCTGTCAAAAACAATGACAACTCTCCTTTCTGGAACTGCCACATGTGATTCTCTTTAATTTAATTTATTTTTTTTTGTGATCTAACTTCTAAAATTCATAATAAATCAATTAAAAATCTAAAAAATGTATCAGAAAGTCTTATGAACTCCTTGTAGCATTCTCTACGCCCTCAAGCTCGGAAAATATAACTTCCACTTATAAAAATATAAATTGATAACAAAAAATCAATTTGTTTCTAAACAATCTAAAACACTAGCTGATGTTTCATAACATAACACTCAAGTTATTTGATCAAACGATTACCATAGACTCCATTATGTTAAATCATGATTTTGGACCTCCATAATCGAGGATGATGTCGTGACGAGTTTTTAGTAATTTTTGGTGTATTTTTATGATTTTTAATTTATTTATTATGCATTTTACAAGTTAAATACTATAAAAATAATATTAAAGGGTATAGACCAATCGCGGGATGCCACCTGTTGGAGGAAACCTTGACGGCGCACCTTCAGCTGCAGCCACGTGTCGCTCAATATGATTTAATATTATTTATCTTGAATTTAACTTCTAAAATTCATAATAAATTAATTAAAAATCCAAAAACTACAACAAAAATTCTTACAAACTTCTTGTGACATTCTCTACACCTTCAGGCTCTAAAACTATAATTGTGAGTTATACAACTGTAAATTGATAATAAAAACTCAAATTTGTTTCTAAGCAATCTAAAACACTAGATGATGTTTTATAACCTAATATTCAAGTTCTTTGATACAATAATTATCATGAACTCAAAGTCAAAGATAATTTCATAGGGAGTTTGTAGCAATTTTTGGTGTATTTTTTTTAATCAATTTTAGTTATTTGTTTTGAAATTTTGAAGATAAACTTGAAAAAAGTAACCAAAACAACATGTGGCGTAATCGTGGGACGCCACCTATTGGAAACACTAATGGCGCCATCTTCAATTGCTGTCATGTGTCACCCTATACTATTTCACATTATTTTTCATTAATTTAACTTCTAAAATTCATAATTAATTAATGGCTTAATTATGTACATGCCCCCAGTGCTTTCCAACTTATCTCATATTACCACCTGTGGTGGAAAACGTCTCAAAGTACCCCCCAACGTGCAAAAAACTGTCTCACGTTACCCTTTCCGTCAGTTTTTTTGAAGTTCCGTTACGAACGTTACTGTTCATCTCCCCCAAAATTCCAGAACAGCAGCTCCTCCCATTTGTTACTGTTCATCGCACCAGTTTTTGGGCTGCCATCGCCTCCTCCGGCCACCCCAAGCGACGACATGGATATCAAAAGAACCAGCACGTTGTCCTCTACCACCCTCACATCTCAGCCGCTGCCAACCGTCGTCTGGATCACCGAAAAAAGCAAGAAATTGGCCGGTTTTTACCCAAAATCTCCATTGCTCGTTCGGGCGATTCCGAGCACCATTTTCTTCGATCCAGGTATGATTTTTCAACCTCTCGAGTTGTTCTTGCTGCTAGTTGTGTTGGTTAGGAGAAATTTCTGAGTTTTGGAGGGTAAATAAGCGATGAACAGTAACAAAGGGGAGGGGCTACTGGAATTTTGGGGGAGATGAACAGTAACATTCGTAACGGAACTTCAAAAAAACTGACGGAAAGGGTAACGTGAGACAGTTTTTTGCACGTTGGGGGGTACTTTGAGACGTTTTCCACCACAGGTGGTAATTTGAGATAAGTTGGAAAGCACAGGGGGCATGTACATAATTAAGCCTTAATTAATTAAACTAAAAAATACATAAAAAATTTATAGGAACCTCTTCTGACATTCTAGACACCCTCAATCTCTAAAAGTATAATTTTTATATTATAAAAATATAAAATGATAACTAAAACTTAATTTTATTTCAAAACAATCTAAAATACTAGTTGATGTTCTATAACTTAACACTCATGTTGTTTAATCCAACAATTATCTTAAACTCAAATATATGAAATCATGATTTTTGAACTTTCATAATTAAGGATGATGTCGTGAGGAGTTTGTATCAATTTTCGGTGTATTTTTCTGATTTTTACTTATTTTTAAATAATTTTTAAAGATAAACTTAAAAAAAGTAATCAAAATGACATGTGGCACAATCGAGGAACGCCACTTGTTGGAAACACTGATGGCGCCAGCTTCAGCGCTGCCATTTGTCGACCTATACCATTTAATAGTATTTTTCTTGGATTTAATTTCTAAAATTTATAATAAATTAATTCATAATTCAAAAAATACACCGAAAATTCCTAGGAACTTCTTGTGACATTATCTATGTTGTCAAGTTCTAAAAGTATAATTTTTATTTAGAAAAATTTCAAGTGATAATAAAACTCAACTTTGTGTTCTAAGCAATTGAAAACACTAATTGATGTCCTATAACATAATACTCATGTTCTTTAATCCAACGATTACCTTAAATTCAAATATGTGAAATCATGATTTTAGACCTTCACAATCGATAATGATGTCTTGAGGAGTTTGTAGCAATTTTCAGTGTATTTTTCTGATTTTTAATTATTTTTTAAATAATTTTTAAAGATAAAATTGGAAAAAGTAATCAAAATGACATGTGGAGCAATCGTGGTACGCCACCTGTTGGAAACACTGACGGCACCACCTTTAGTTAATGCCACATGTTGCCCTATACTATTTAATATTAATTTTCCTTGATTTTACTTATAAAATTCATAATTAATTAATTAAAAATCCAAAAAAATACAACGAAAATTCTTAAGAACTCCTTGTGACATTCTCTACACCCTCAAACTATAAAAGTAAAATTTTCACTTATAAAAATGTGAGGTGATAATGAAAACTCAAATTTGTTTCTAAACAATATAAAACAATAGTTGATGTTTTGTAACTTAACGCTCATGTCCTTTGATCCAACGACTACCTTGTACTCAAATATGTGAAATCATAATTTTGGACCTCCATAATCGAGGATGATGTCATGAGGAATTTGTTGCAATTTTCAGTGTATTTTTCTGATTTTAATTTTTAAAAAATTCTTTTTATAGGATAAACTTCAAAAAGTAATCAAAATGACATATGGCGCAGTCCTGTTACACCACCTTTTGGAAACAATGACGGCGCCACCTTTAGCTGCTGCCAGTGTTGCCCTATACTATTTAATATTATTTTTCTTGATTTTACTTCTAAAATTCATAATAAATTAATTAAAAATCCAAAAAATACACTGAAAATTCCTAGGAACTCCTTGTGACATTCTCCGTACCCCAAAGCTCTAAAGTATAATTTTCACTTATTATTAAAAATATACCCTAAAAAAGCTACGTGCTTCTTACGACAATGTCTTTGATGTTAGAATTCTAAAAATCGTAATTCAACCAATTTGAATTCATGGTAATCATTGGATCAAAGAAACAAAAGTGTGATGTTATAAAACTTAAGTATGGTTTTGGTTTGTTTATAAACAAATTAATGTTATAAAACTTTTGTTTCTATTACTTTTTTGTTTACCTTAAAACATTCAAAAAATAAAAATCATAAGAAAAAAACTTGAAGCTATGCGGGAAGAACACCGTTCAGAAACCTTAACGATGTACCAATCTCCGAAGCCACATGTTGTTCTCTTCAATTTATTATTAATTTTCTATGCTATAACTTCCAATATTCATAATAAATACATAGCAATCCATACAAAACATTGAGTGAATTATTACTGAATTATTATTGCCATTTTATTGGCCCATTAGCGAACATGGTTTGGGATAAAGAATTACTTTTAATTATACACAGGATAAAATTTTGGTGTATATTCTAAATTTTTAATTAAAAAATATTATCAATTTATAAACTAACGGAATGAAAAATAATAAAGAGGCATTCATGTCTCGTTCACTTGAGTTTATTTTATCTTTAAAAAAACTCCATAAAGTGGTATTTATTTATAACACGTTAACAAATACCCAGCATAGTTTTAATTCTATATGAATTAACCGATCATTTATTAATTTAATATTTAGAAATTAATAAAGAAATTAGTAAAGAAGCATGCAAAAAAAAAAAAAAAAAAAAAAAAAAAAAAAAAAAAAAAAAAAAAAAAATAATAGAACTCATATGGAAGTTTCGTGGATGTCAAAGGGAGAGAAAGAGAAGAATTAGGTGGTGGGAGGTAGAAGGAGGGTGCTGCATCATGGATGTGAGGTTGTTGGCTGTCGCATAGAGAGAAGGAGATGAGAGATAAAAAGGAGAAGGAAGAAGGGTGAAACTGAAGTCACTCGCGGGTTGAGATTTTCTTATGGGTCATTTAAACCCGGTTGTAATAAAACTATAATTTTGAAACTGCAACCCACAAATAAGCCCTGCATATTAACCTCCGCATTCTAGCAGCTCCCGAAGATTTGTACGTCGAGAGCTTCATCTTTGTTAC